CACAGACACATTTAAAATAAGATTTATTTTTAATGAATCCGGGGACACTTTTCAACTTCAATGGATTTTGTATGGGGACTGATTTGTAAATCCGGGGACTGTCCCTGGGAAACGGGGACGTCTGGTAACCTTAATTTAAAAGGCTGTAGAATATTAATCAGCCCAAAACCTGGTTGAAGAGGAAATATAGATGATGTGAAAGACCTCAGCCTGGAGGGCTGCTGCCAGTCAGAGTCAACAGTAATGGGCTAGATGGACCGGATATATAGAAGGCAGTTTTCCCATGGACTCTACACAATTGTGCATTGCCTTTAAGGAATTAGTTTCATGATACTTCTACTGTTGCTTTTTAAATTATTATTATTATTGTAAGCCTTTTTGAGAGCCCCTGTGGCCACAAAGCAACCATTACATTTAAATATAAATAAACAAACTTGCCCAAGCTTAAGTGTGACCTCAAACATGCAAGCCCTCTCCTCTTTGCGCTGCCTGGATCCTATCCAAGGGGCCCTTTCATCCCCCTCTAATTTAGTTTACTAGCAAAATGCTGCAGAGAGATTACTTTTTTAAAAAAAGAAAATATCCCTTCCATGCCTGCAGAGCTTAGAAGGAGCTGCCCCAGTGACCCGGTTCTTCCAAATCTCACCATTTGTCTTCCCTCCAAAGGGGGACCTGGAATTCCTGGCTACCTTGGAGCCTGTGGTCATGAGGACACTGCAGACAGGATTACAGAGGGGGCTTTTCTTTCTCTAGGCCGGGGCTGGGGGTTTGTCTGCATTTCTCTTCTGACATCTCATCTCCAAGGAAGCTCTCTCTCTCCCCCCCCCACCGCCCACACCCCCACCAGCGTGCCCAGTCTTCACTTTCTAAGAAGGATGCTACCCACTGAGCTATTCAAAGCAGTTAAATGAGAAAAGGGGGTTAATAAAGCACATGTTGCGGGTGGGGTGGGGGGGCGTAGAGAAAAGAAAAGATTAGAAGGGCTGATGTTTTGGCTATGGGGCCTTCTTTTGACCATGAAGTGGGGGGGGGGGGGGAGAACAAGATTATTGTTCGCACGCACACACTCCTTTCCCACTACCCAAAGGACTTCATAGCCAGAATCCCACCACTAATCCAATTGTCCCTCACTAACAAGTTTTATCAACATAGCTCTGCAATTCTATGATCCCTCTCCTCCACCTCACCCTGCCAGCCATCTCTGCATTCTTATTATTATTATTCTCTTCTCCTCTCTCCAGAGTACATTTTCAGTTTCAGATAACAAGGTACCTATTCGTTACAGCCCCCTCGCAACCTGTGCTTCGCTGAGGGCTGTGATCCTAAACCACCTTTACATGTGCAAAGACACATAACATGGAGAATCTCTTCCCTCGAGGAAGACCTGAGGTGGTGGAAGGTAGACCTTTGAGGATCAACAACACCCTGGAATTGGGGGTGGGTGGGTGGGTGTCCTAATCCCACCCCCTTTCTTTCCAGACAAAGACATTCCATTCACTTTCCAGCATTAAACGGCTCAGACTTTCCGCATCCACAAGGCTTCCACGAAAACGGGGAGACGGGCGATTTGAAGTAATGGAGAAGTCTAGTGAAACATCAGTTGACACCATCTCACACTCTATTTCTAATCTTCAGGGATGAGGGCTCACAGTTAACAGAGCCAAATCAGCAATGCCCACCCACAAGGAAGGAGGTCTTGACAAACCTGGGGTAGTTTGCAGAAGTAAAGGGGAATTAGAGGAGGAAGGACCCGAAAATGTCCCCATGATGGCTAAGCATGCTCACTGTCCATTAATGCCAACTTGACTGTTGGAGAGGGAGGTTAAAAACTGGGGCGGAGGAGATGGAACGGAGTGTCTAGAAAATGAGAAGCAATATAAATATAAATGGGGTAGACAGATCCCTCTCATTGTCAGGATAGGGCGCTTCTTAGTTCACACTAAGAAACTGTTTTTAAATATCCCCAGGAAAAGATGTCAATAACCGCCCATAGAAATCGGGCGAGGGGGGCCTTAATATTGCTGGGCTTGGACACCAGTGCATCCACACACACACACCCAACAGAGAGTTCCTGCTCTTCTAAGTTCTTATTTAGTGTGGTTATTACAAAACAACCCTGCCAATGGAATTCCAAAGTGAATTATCCCCAAGTACAGCAAGACCTACTACAGCCCTGCAGTGTAGGCAAGGCTTTATGTGATTTCTGTGCTGTTCAGAGGTATTAGGACTCTGTTTCAGGTTGGATGTTAGGCAGAAATACAGAGGGTGTTATCCATTGCTTCTATCCCCACACTGCAAGTTGAACTGAGGCAGCAGGATACAACATCCCTGCAGTGCGGTTCACTGTAAGAGAGAGGGCTGTGTTTGGTCACTTACAATATCCCTGCAATGCAGTCCACTATTAGCATTGCAAACTTATTTAAATGCCCCCCCCCCCGATCTCCTCTCAGCTAAATCAAGTACTTAACTGACTTGCATACAGGTTTTTTTTACAGCTATCTTTAAGAATTGCACGTGAAGTAAAAAACAGAGCCACATTAGAGCAGGGAAAAGTCACATCCAGTTTAGGCTTCATCTGCAGCTAACTTTTTTTTTTATTGTATCAGGGCCGGATTTAGGTTTGATGAGGCCCTAAGCTACTGAAGGTAATGGGGCCCTTTATATGTCCAGCTGTCCTTTGTCAACAACAAATTGTCACTGCTTTTTGTGTTGAATATATGCCAATGATATTTTAGGGAGCAGGCTAGCCCATTACTTACATCGTAGGAGCCTACACAACACAACACAAACCACTGTTGCTGTATGTAGGTTTTATTTTATTTTATCTTATATTTTGGAAATGTACATCCAGGGTTTTTTTTCCTTTAATTTTTTTGGGGGCCCCCAAGAGAATGGAGCCCTAAGCTATATTGTTTCGCTTATATGTAAATCCGGCACGGGATTGTATCCATCAGTTTTAGGGGAATTGATAAAATACAAAACGTTGCTTCCAAGGATGGCCAAACTTGACCCTCCAGCTGTTTTGGGACTACAACTCACATCATCCCTAGCTAACAGGACCAGTGGTCAGGAATGATGGGAATTGTAGTCCACAAACAGCTGGAGGGCCAAGTTTGCCCATGCCTGTCTGATAAAGGTTAAAAACTAAGTAAAAAATGCTACACGCTGTGATGATTGTGTGATGCTGGAATCCCTCCCAAAACTAAGAGTCTTGTGCCACCTTAAAAACTAAAAAAAATCTTATGACATCAATTTACATGGATCACAGTTCGCTTCATCAGATGCCAATGAGTTAGGTATGTATGTAAGGGAGGGACACCAGGGGGAATAAAATGCAAAAACGGATAGGCAGTGACAATTAGAGAGACAATTATGTGACCAATTAACAAGGCAGCACTGGTGAAAACTGCAAACGCCCTGCAACTTCTACCCGGAACACACCACAAAATTCATTGTACATACAGCCCAAGATGCAACCACATCTGTTCAGACTAATTGGGCAAGAGGCCAGTAACTTAAGGATTCACAGCAAACATTGGTAATCAACGCATTTAGTATGATGAAAATCAGCTCATCTTGATTCAAGCAACAGATAACAGAACCGAATTGCCTAATAAATTGCAATTCAGGGTTTCACAATGGAGTTTCTCTTTGATGTCCCTTTGTTTGAAAGAAGTGCAACTCAAGGTCAGTTGCAGAGCGTTCTGGTAGCCTGAAATAAGTTTCTGGACTTTGCCATAGTTGATATCAGATTTGTGCCGATTTATTCATCTTGCATCAATTGATCTGCTTGCCATGTGTAAAATGCTGGCAGCCGATGACACACAGCACTTTGGAAGACGAGCAGTGAATTAACTGTGACGGTATGTCTGGCATTGCTAGGTTCTGCAGTAGTGTTGCTACTGGTTGGATATGGGGATAAATCTGGCCTCTTGATTTGTGTCTGTGCCTTTTGCTGCTGATTTAGGTCGGAGGCACAGTCTGTAAGCAAGTACAGTGGTACCTCGGGTTAAGTACTTAATTCGTTCTGGAGGTCCGTTCTTAACCTGAAACTGTTCTTAACCTGAAGCACCACTTTAGCTAATGGGGCCTCCCGCTGCCACTGCGCCACCAGAGCACGTTTTCTGTTCTCATCCTGAAGCAAAGTTCTTAACCTGAAGCACTATTTCTGGGTTAGTAGAGTCTATAACCTGAAGTGTATGATGTAACCCGAGGTACCACTATACCGGCCTGCCACCCCAAGGCCTACGAAAGGGCACTGTCATTATCCAGGACTGTCTATAGATAAATGACACCTCTTTTGCCCTTGTAGCTTGGAGCAGCCCAAATGGGCCCACCTCTCTGGCTTTCTCAATTCCCTCTTTAAAACAAAAAATGCCCTTATTGGGAATGACGGTTCTCAGAATCTCTTGAAGGACAGCATTGGATGTCAGGGTAGCATCTCCTCCTGGAAAAATGTGGGCATTTGCTTCTCCTGGAGTGTCCTGCCAGGGCCAGCTCAACCAAGAGGCAAGCTGAGGCAAACGCCTCAGGCGGCAGGATTCACCGGGGAGAAGATCCCTAATGTTGATCTTTCTTTTCCATCTTGTTACTGATATAGACCTTCCCTCGCCCCTTCTTCTTTGGTGGGGAGGGGGATGCCATTTTGGGGTCCTCCTCAGGTGCCAAAAAGGGCCCTATTGTGAAATGGTGGCCTGGGGAGAGGGGTGTGTTGTGAGGAGAATTTTGAGGGCCAAGTAGAGGGGTTTTGAGAGCCCATTTGGCCCCCGGGCCTGAGGTTCCTCGCCACTGTCTTATAAGCCTAACGTAGGATATTTTTCCTCACTCACTCTCTTGGCACTTTCTTTTAAATACAAAAAAGAACAGGGGAGGGGAAATGTCAGGCCTCACACCGAAAAGGTGTGTCATGAGGGACTGCTGCTAAGGCCGAATAAGAGTAGGCCGCTGGTGTGTAATGGGGAAAACCTTGCCTCAGAGAAAACACATTAATCTCCATTTACCTGTAATTCCCAGCAGCTGTCCTTCTCAGCCAGCCACTGCCTTTTGAAATGGGAGCAATTTGGCGCTGACCTTCAGGGAAGTGTTAGCCGTGCACCATGTTGAAAGGCGAGGAAGGGAAGTAGAATTAGGAAACTGGGTTGTTTGGGAGCCTCAGCCCTCAAATAAGTTTTTTTATCCCCCAGATTCTTCCAGTAAAGGACCAACAGAGATTCTGCCGCTTTGTTTACCTTGGGACATGCCAGGTAATCTCCTCAAAGTCACTCATAATCTTGAGCAATATTCAGCTGCTAGAGGGCTAGACCTTGAGATAGAAACCCCTTTTAAAGAAAGAAAGGAAGGTGTTAGAATAATGGTTGGGAAGCTGAATGCTGTGTTTGTTCACGGGGTAGGCAAGTGAGGGGGGAAGTTGTAAATGAAATTCACCCCTGAAAATGTGTGTGTGTGTATGTGAGAGAGAGAGAGATCAAAGTTTTGCAGCTGATCTCATAAGGCTCAGCTTCCTGGGGAAAAGGGGATTGCTAATACTATGGCAGCTTTGTGACATGGGAAGTTTTGCTCTTGTGGTTGGAAATATTGTCAGGGTAGAGAAGGGGAGGACACACGAGATGTTGTCCCACCAAGACAAAGAGAATAACGGGGAATCAAAAGTGAGAGCAGGGATTGGGGGGTGTATGTCTGCGCACATGCGTTAGCACATGAACAGGGTATATTGGCTGTGACCTGGCGAGAGGCGGCCTTTCGATTGCTACCTCTGAATGCAACAGTTCCCATCAGTGAAACTCAAACAAGCAAAACCCACAAACGTCTTCACATCTAGGTTGGAAATGCTTGTGGAAAACACAGTTTAGAAGCTTCCTGGGTATTGAGCATTTTGTTTCTGCATTTGGCTTTTCAGAAATGTAGGGCCATATTTACGGCAAGGGAATGTGTGCAAGGAGATTTTCCTGCCTTCCCCTGCCCATCCTATTGGGTGTACTCAATCCACTCATCATATTGCTACAAGCCTTATGATCCTCTTCTGAACTAATGGGATCATAGGAAGGCAGAGCATCTTATACAGGGAAAACCCACAACCTCCCAGGCTTTCCTCCCAAGTACACACTAGGACCTCAAGACGTTCCTATGTAGGCATGCCCTTTGATTAATTTCCTATATAGCAAATAATATTGCTTTCTAGTGAATTCTCCTAGGACATGACATGTGATGTGGTTTGTGTGTGGGTATAGTGATGGGTAGCCTGGAAGACATGGGGGTTGATTTTGTTTGCATAGGCTACTCAGCTCAGAACAGATTACTCCTAGTGCTTTATCATGCTGACCTTGCAATTGATCATTAACACATTAGGGCACTTCCATTTGTGAGCAACCCTCAAGGCCATTTATGTTAATGTCCAAATGTCTGATTGTTGCTGCTGTGATAGATAAAGAAACAGAGGCATTTGTAATGCAAATGAACATTCTGACGAAAACAGATACTACCTTCAGATTACAAACCTGGCTGAAGCAAGGAGCCTTAAACCAAATTAAAAAAAATTACGAAATAAAAAAATAAAAAAGCTCTCCCTCTACCTACTCCTATGAGCATAGTGATAACCTTCCTAATTATAGAATCCTAGACCTGGAAGAGGGTCTTGTGGACCTCCCAGTTCAGCCCTTGCTTGATGCAGGAAATCCAGAGGGAGAGTTTCAAGACAGTTTGAAACCACCCCACCCAGGCAGCACTCGCCACTCCCAGCAATTTATCACCTTACAGACCCAGGAATTTTGCTGGCATCACTGCTCATCCTGCTATATTCTCTTCTCTACATCCTGATTTAAGCAAACATTCCTAAAAGACAGTCCCATGGAAGGATTCCTTTCAGGCTGTGCAGATATCTGGCCATGGTGCATTTTTTTAAAATAAATATTTCTGTTTGTTCTTTTGCTCTGGATTATGCAGGTCACTTTGTACTGGGCAGATACATAGAAAATCCTACCACGGGCTAAGGAAGGGGACACGGTGACCTCCTAAAAATCCATTGCAGACATGCCGTTTTCTGATAAGCAAGCACAGGGGGGCAGCTCTCCACACACAGCAGAAAGAGTCAAAAGACTGGGCTCCTGGAACACTTCAGACCGCAAGCAGGGCAACAGCATTTTTGAATGCTCCCCACTCCCCCAGAGGTTTAAAGACAAAACAAACTCCTTTCGAGGCAAAAACAAGAATAGCAGGGAGAAATTCTAGACAACCCTGTCTCTGTAGTCCTTGGGAAAGCAAAAAGCAAAACACATTCAGGGGTGGTTTAATACTCCATTTTATTTTATTTATTTATTGGCTTATTGCTGGACAATAAACAAAGTATCCAGGCAGCGAACACATCCATGAAGCGGCACAGAAACAGCTAGTCAACATCTGGACAGTGATAATGCAGTTACTGATGGCTGAGCAATACACCAGAAAAGACTTGTGCAAACAGGAGGGTTATGAAGCAGGCAACCAAAGCAAAGCATGGATGGTGGTTGCTTAATAATAATAGGCAAAGATTGCCACAGTCCAGGTGCAAGAGCACTAAATGCTTTGTTGAAGCAAGGCAGGCACCAGGTAGCATCCTTAAGAGAGCCCCTCTGGCTGAACATAAAAATTGGACAGGTAGATATGGGGCAAGATGGTTCTTCACGTCAATTGTTCTCAAGGCTTTAATATACCGACAGTAAGACCGTGAATTTGGGACCATATAAGCAGCCAGTGAAGTTCTTTCAGCAGAGGTTTTTTATGCTGTTGGTGGGAAGCCCCCACTGGCAACTGGGCTGCTGTGTAAGGGAAGCTCCACGTTGCACTGATTTTGAGGTTCCCAATGTGCAGCGCCTAAGCGATCCTAATCCTTTCAAAAGTTTATTGGAAGAGTTCCCAGCTTCCAAGACCACAGGGGCCTCTAGTGTTAGAGATGGGTCCACCCCAGATGGCAAACTTGCTCCCTCAGAGGGCGGTGTGTGTGTGTGTGTGTGTGTGTGTGTGTGTGACTCCATCCAGAACTGCCTGTCTCCCAGATCCGCTCGCCTCCCGATAGCACCTTCATCTTGTTGCGATTCAGAAGGCAGTTTATTGGTCCCTGTCCAGCTCAACGCTTACATCCAGGCACCGGTTCCAGGTCTTGCACATCCTTCCCTGATTCAGATGAAATAGAGGAGAACTCGGTGTCATCAGCATTCTGATAGCATCCCGCCCCAAAATGTATAACAATCATTCCCATTGGCTTCATTTCATATGGATTTTTTTTAAAAGCATTGGTGAGAAAATGGTGTTGTGTGTGGTACACCATAGCATAGGAAGCTTCAGGTTGGAAAAATTGTATTTGAGGCCAGGTTGTTGATAAGTAAACAATTTATTAATTGAAATAATAAGAATGAGCTGTTACTAAAAACAGGCCTCAGCGCAGAACCTATGTCTCTGCTTCTAGCCATGTGACTTAGTTGCATACCCTCCAATATTTCTCCAATTAAAATAGGGATGTCCTATTTAATAATAATAATAATAATAATAATAATAATAATAATAATAATAATAGTAATAATAATAATAGATTATTATTATTTTATTTGTATCTGCGCAATCTGACTGGGTTGCCAAGGCCACTCTGGGTGGTTTCCAACATATATAAAAAGGTAATATGACAGCAAACATTAAAAACTTCCCAATACAGGGCTGCCTTAAGATGTCTTCTAAAGGTTGTAGAGTTATTTATCTCCTTGGCTTGGGGGTCACATAACTCCATACCCTCCAATACTTCTCCAATGAAAATAGGGACGTCCTAAGGAAAAGTGGGACATTCTGGGATGAAATCAGAAACTGGGATGGTTTCTGTAAATCCGGGGCTGTCCCAGGGAAATAGGGACACTTGGAGGCTCTGTAGTTTCCTCCTGCTCAAGGAAACTATTATAGAGCAGGTTTCTTTTCATATATATATATATATATTAAAAAGGAGAGCACTAGGAACAGGTATGTCGCCACTGTGGAAGGACGTGTAGATCCAGAATGGGTCTCCACAGTCGCTTATGGACTCACTGTTAGGACTGTGTTCGTGGAAGACAATCTTACTTGGCTACCAGTGATCACCAAAGAAAGAAAGAAAAGACTTTCACTTTGTTCTGTTGAATCCGGCCAAAGCAAGGAAGGCAAAACAACCTCTCTCGCTTTACTTCCTGCAGGGCTAGGAGTGGCATGCCAGGTGTTTTGTTCAACACAGAACTGAGGGAAGGTAAATTAATGGGCGCCTCTTTATTTTTGTGCTGCCAGGGATGGATACAGCTGAGCCGAGTCATGCGTGCTGTCAGAACTGGCCCTTTGCTGCTTCGAGGATCTTCGGTGCAAGGCTTTTTAACAGGTACACCCCAGGGGCTGTATTGGATCGTGTGGCTGTATGGGGAGGGAACTACAGCCATTTTCCCTAAGTCATCTCAATCTCAGGAATAGGTTGCTCATTCCAACATCATGTTTGCATGCTCAAGATTACTTGTTCATTGCGATTAGAAGCTTCCACCATGGAAAACGCTGTCAAGAAGTCTATGTGGTGAGTGGGTTTCTCACCCTTTCAGTGCTTGCCTATGAATGAAATGGAAATTCCGTGCTGTGCTACTGACTTTTTGAAACAATATATTGCTTATTGCATGTTGCTGCCCTTGTTCTGCCCCTTCTCCAGATTGATCAGAGCAGTGTACGTACACAGTTCCCTCTGAATCTCCCCTCCCCTTTATCCTCACAACCAGGGGTGCCAACTTGAATAAAATATTGCGAGGGGGGCAGGTAAGCTCCACCCCACATAATTGATCACATGATGCCACACACAATTTGAATGGCAATGCCCATGAACTTTGGGGAGGGGCCTCAAATATTTTATTGAGGGCGAGAAGGGACCTTGGCTCCTAGGAGTTGGCTCCTGTGCTTACAGAGATTGAGCAGGGTCACCCTAAGACATCTGAATTAGTGCAAGAGCACCAAGGTTGCCCTAAGGGACGCGGGTGACGCTGTGGGTTAAACCACAGAGCCTAGGACTTGCTGATCAGAATAATAATAATAATAATAATAATAATAATAAATTTTATTTATACCCCGCCCTCCCCAGCCGAAGC